GTGAATCAGCGACCACATTGGCCTATTTCTCGCCTGAATTTTATCGTATTCAGAAGCAGTTTTTGGTGGTTGGAGAAATTCAACAACTTGTTTTCCAGTGCGTATTATAAAACAACAGCCCAGCAAGTGATGCCTTTCCCTCAAATCAAGTATGAAAAGAATTTGTGTTGATGTCTGAGTGAGGAAGACAACTGTCCATCAATTACAGTCTCATTTACATCAAGCTTGTCTCAAGTAGTTTGTAGTGTTAATGGCACAGAAACTGTGGGACAACTCTGCCAGGCTAGTTGTCAGTGTGTATTAACAAATATTTTGATGTCAACAAGTCATGATGGAAACATCACTTCAGCTTATCACAGCAGTACTGCAGTACAGTGCAGAACTGCTGAGGGATCGTATTGCCAATAGTGTTGCACATCAGATTGTATTTAATTGTGGTGCACCGTGATGCCATAATTAACATGTTTTTAATATTAACTGTAATTTCTTACAGGACAATTAAATTTTCCAGCCATATCTCTACCTTCATCATAGATTCACATGCTTACGCATATACACCATTACCACCACAAATCTCTGCACAGTAGCAACTACAGCTGTCCTGGATTCAAAGTCTTATCTTGTTGAGATCAGGATAAGAGTTGTTGGTGCAGAAAAGACTCTGAATCTGCTGCCGTTCGGGCTGTGCTTGCACCATCATTACACGTCAGACTGTGAAGGATCCGTCAAGATGTTAAAAGTTGGCAAAGTGGTTCCTGTCCTGCATTGTTATACACAGTTTATACTCGCTGCACTCATGTTTAAAGTGAAGAAGAGTATATTGACAAAGACAGTTTCCCAGAGCTCAAGGTGACATATTCAGTTAGCTTGTTTTGTTTGATAGACAACTTATTCTGTTTCTATTATACCAATTCATAATGATATAAAACAGCCATTTTAGCTTGATATACGGCTATTCCAATATCACCTCTGCTGTAAATGGATCTTCCGTACTGTGTTGGCATACATTTTGATGATATAATGATGACACTGTCGCTTCTTTTCAAGGTTCCTCTGCTGCAGACAAACACACAAGTCGTGCTCATGTAAGTGCAGCCCCCAGATTCTCGCTGTGATTATGCTTTATCATGTGGCTCAGCAGTGTGTGTCAGGCTTAACGAGAATCCCTCCGACTCTCCGCAGGCAGCAGAGCACCAGGAGCACACCGCACACAGCTCTGTTGGTGAGTGAAGGATTTCACTGCAGATGGTCTGATATCTTGTCCCTAATGACATGTAGGAAAGCAGATCAGTTATATGGTGCATATTAATGAGGTTTATTTGATCCATGCCACCACTCAGCCATTGTAAGATGTAAACGCTTCATTACAATAAATAAATCTGAGGGGAGAAGGAAGGAGGAGGAGGAGGAGGAGTTAATGGAATTGTTTGAGGAAACAGTTGACATACACAGAAATGTATTTTAATTATTGCAAGTACCAAAAAATAATTCATCATTGGATCCTCCCTGTATCTTTGCATCATCATGTCTCTTTGCCTTTCCTGATTCGTCTCCCCTGTTTATCTCGTGTCTTTCTCAGGATTGGAGGACGTGGCGTTAGTGATCCAGAGTCAGAGGAACTCTTACCACGCCCATCGAGCCGGGCAGAGGAAGGAGGAGATCCTGCAGCAGGCTGCTCAACTGAGACAGGTAACATCTGGCTTAGTGGTTAGCACTGTTGCCTCATAGAGATAATATGCTGGGTTGAGATCAACCACACATGCATGTTAAGTAGGTGTCTTGTCTGCCATCAAGATTGAGAAAGTTTACTCTCATAAACAACTACTATGGAAATATGATAACCTTTCAAAAATATAGCTGCCCATTACTTTAGTCCAGACTGAAATGTCAGAAGAACTGTTGAACGGATTGTGATGAAATACAGACTTTCATGGTCACCGGAGGATGAATCCTGCTGACGTTGGTGATCCCCATTGGTCACTTTTGAGGTTGACACTTGCGGTTTCAAGTGAAATATTTAAGTACGGGTTGCATTGCCATGAAATGTAGTCCAGATATTCATGCCCCTTCTCTGGGTAAATTCTAATGACATTTGAAATGATATTTCAACATCCCATCTAGCATTGTCATCATCAAAATGTTTATGTTTAAATGTTTTAACCCTTCCTAAGACCCGCCCTTTTAGCGCCTCAGTCAACATTTTCATGTTTTGCTAACATTAGCTAACCTAAGTTGCGACTATATATGTGTACGTGTGTGTGTATATACAGACAAAAAGGGGCAGGGAAGGGGCAGTTGGCTATTGGATGGATGGCTGTAGACTGTTAGACTTGTTACTTATTCTTTACTTTATTTATGAATATTATAATGAACTTCGCTATATTTATTTAGTATCCACAACTTTGGAGTTCAATAGAAAATGGCCAGCAGCAGTTAACAAATACATCATTTGTGGAAAATGGGCTTAAACTGTTGGGTCTCAGTCAGAACAGGTTTTTATTTGATCAGAAGATTGGTCCCAACATACAGAATTTGAGTCTAATTTATGTTCAAAAAATACTGTTCTTCTAGTGTAAAATAATCATCAGGATTCATCAAGGTTGTCAGCAGAATAGAGCTTTATTATCTTTACAGACAAACAAAGCCCGAGCCATCCATGGAAAGACTGACTGCTCATCTTCTACTTTTTCACACTGTGACATACTGGTGTATCTCTCCCTCTGGAAAGACCCTAAACCTCCACCAACCGTGGTTTTTCCTCTTCTACTAGTGTCTTATCTGCCCTAGCCTACACCTGTAAGGTCTACGTTCTTATCGCAGAACCCGCAGACTTCACGGCCTACTCCAAGGCCATGAAGATTTTTGCTTACTCTACATTTTCTTTCCTTCAGGATTACACCCATTAGAATCCCAGCTTACTGTACTTCTATTTAAAAACATTTATTACCTTCTTTTACACCATTATGTCACAGTTGTTTCTTTATATATTTTTTTTAAAAACTTTTATGAACTTTTATAAGATTTAGTAAATAATAAAACTGGTGTTATAATCACTCCATACATTTGTATCATTCCAGTGCTCGTTTTTTTAGCTACATCTACACACTTTTATATTCACTACACCTTACATCAAACTTTTACTAAGACCATGGTGCTTACTACTTCATTAACAGTATTGTGCCTATCATGACTTAAAACATAATGCCTTCATTAACATCACTGTGTGCTTATATAAAATCTATTCTACTTATCACTCAAAGGTATAAAATCTATTCTACTCAAAATATAAAATCTATTCTACTTAACACTTTAAAATCATCATTACTTAAAACATAGTGCTCATAACATAATATCCAAGCTCTTTGTGTGATTACATGATTTCTAACCTATAACATGCACTAACCTACACTAAATTTTATACTACAAAACATAAAACCATATGTGTGGTGCCTCAATATCAGGTACATGATTAAGGTATCTTAGTGCTTGAGGCAGGTTAATGGCAGTACTTCTGTTCATGGATGGGGGCAAAAAAACACCATTAAAGGCTCATAAAGGTTGTGTATATATGCACACAATACGTATCGCTGGTAAAAACAGGAAACAACCGCTTCATCTTTAGTGACGTTTGCAGTTGGAGACTTGGAGTTATGCATTGCTGTTGTACTACACTGGTACCAATAGGTGTCCTCCTTGTCATAGAGCTCCCCTACCTGGGCTAAGAGGAAGCAAGCTCACCACACTCACATAGTAGTTATTTAATAATATGTGCCTGCAGGGTAGCTGTGAAAACTAATTTGTTATAGACCTCAGTGAAATGAGATGACAGGCGTATGGACATGACAGCCTGTAGTAGAGACACAGAATTGTTGATTTTCCTTTGATGGGAATGGGTACTGTGAAGTAAAGAAACCGTCTTTGATTCCTCGTCCAACCTCATTTTTAGTCCAGATAACCCTCTCCCGATAGAAAAAAATGGCTGACGGCAGTCAGTAAGGTCTCTGTGGAAAGATTTCTACAGTATTTTATTAAAAATAAAAAACTGTCTCAGACTGTTATGAAAGACAACATTTATTTTCAATCTTTATTTCCCCTGACTACTGAAAATTCCAGCTGTCTTATATGTTTCAGATATGATTAATTTTTATCAGGTTGTGGTGAAAGCAGAAAGTATGCAGTTGTTTTTATTAGTTTATAATGATAATATAATGTTTGGATTTGTGGTTTGTCCATACTGTCCCAACCTCCCTCTGAGTTGGTTCCGTCTTTTCTTTTTTTAATGAGGAGACTTCTGCAATCACTTTGCGGCCTGTAAGCAACAAATGTGATGTAGCATCAGTGAATGATTCAGCGGCGACATAGAGGGAGCAGTGATTGAATTTGATTGTTTTAATTTGAAGCCACATGTTGGTGGTGGAGGTTTGACGCGTTTCTCCCCGAGACGTCGAGAAACATCACATTAAATATCACTGTTACGGTGGGTTTATGGTCCAGCTCAAGCTCCTAGTATTCTGGGAGACAAAAAATATGGGGATTTTGGAGCAGTTTGTGCCCAATCAGCCGAAAGAACATTTGTGAGGACAGGCAGTAATGTTGGATAAGAAGGCCTGGCTTGCAATCGGTATTCTAATTCATCCCAAAGGTGTTCAGTGGGGTTAAGGTCAGGGGTCTGTGCAGGCCATCCAAGATCCTCCGCACCAAACTCAATAACCATGTCTTTACGGACCTCCCCTTGTGCCCTGCGGCACAGTCATGCTGGAACAACAAAGGGCCTTCTCCAAAATGTCTTAGCATTAAGAAGACCCTTCACTGAAACTAAGGGGCCCTGAAAAACAGCAACGGACCATTATACCTCCTCCACCAAACCTTAAAGTAGGCACTAGTGTTCTCCTGGCATCCACCAAACCAGACAGTGAAGCGTGATTCAATCTCCTCGCAAAGGACTCGTTTCTGCTGCTCCAGAGTCCAGTTGCGACATGATTTACATCACTCCAGCCAACACTTGGCATTGTGCGTGATGATGTGAGGCTTTTTGCGCAGCTACTCCACCATAGGAACACATTTCATGAATCTCCCGACACGCAGTTCTTGTGCTGATGTTGCTTCCTGAGGAAGCTTATAACTCTGTAGTGAGTGATGCAACAGACGATTAGCAATTGTTACTTGCTTTAGCACTCGTTGACCGCGCTCTGTGAGTGTGCATGGTCTATCATTTCATGGCTGAGCTGCTTTAGGTGCTTACATTTCACAATAATAGCGCTTAACTAGTGGCATATTCAGCGAAATGGCTGTCTCTTAACTGAATAGAGGTTGAGAGATTCTGTCAAATAAGAAAATCTGTATAAAATCAGATTTAAATGCTGTGTAAATGGCTACTGGAGCTTCCGAGAGTGCTGATAATAACAGCAAGTTTCATAAATGGCATATTTGGATGCATGTGTGTGTACAATCATCCCTGCATGTGTGCTGTGATGTGATGTGTTTGTGTGTTGTGTGAGGTAGGTTTATTACAGCTAGATAGAGCTTGATTGTAGCGAGCAGTTTTGCATGAGGGCAGGCTGTGCGTCACGTTTATTTGACTGACATATAACCAGGTGTTTATTTCGACTGAAGGCGGGGATTAAACATGGCAAACTCTCATAAACTCTGACATGCTAACAGCTTGTTGTCTGACTGACGTATGCCTGTTTTCTCTGTTTATTTTGTGACACTCAAAGGTTTTTGTTGTACAGTAAATCACACAGCTGTGGTCATGGTGCAGCAGCCTCTCGGTTTTCATTTTGGTGCTTTGTTTACACATATTATTATAATGAGAGATAAACATTTTTGCTACAGCTGTGTTACATGGCCCTGTATTTGTTATTGGCAGTAAGTAAGGGCTTTTAATCCAAGACGTCAATGCCAATGTTGCGTCTCTTTCAGCTTCGTCATCCAACCTCATTACAGTCATCTCATTTGGCCGCTGCTCTCAGCTCTTTTCGCCCACATGTCACCACAACACTTACAGCAGATGGTAAAAACCCTCCTTACACTCTCAGAATCTGAAGTGGACCTGAGAAGTGTGTTTGCATGTGAACTTTCAATATGTGGTTGTCTGCGTTGACGTAAAGTAACAATTATTGGATCGATTGCCAATAAATGTTCCCTAGAGGACAAAACATACAAATGTTGGCGATTTGGCTGTAGACAAGGCCTTCTCAGCACGTTTTCATTCCTAGGTCATCGATTACAGACGTGGGCGGTGTTCAAGTAACAAGTTAATTAGCGAGCTGTTAGGGAAATTTTTTAGTGTGGAACAGAGCCAGGCTAGCTGTTTCCCTCTCTTTACAGCCTTTGTGCTAAGCTAACTGGCTGCTGGCTGTATATAATGTAGTATAATACAACAGTCCTGAAAAAAATCCTACTTTCAAGGAGGTTATAATGGATTCAACTGCATGATCTGTTTGGTGGCTGCAGTTTGTGGTGCTCTTGAATTGATTTGCATTATACTGACAGGTCAGGTGTTTCTATTATTGCATTTATATCAATTAGGGTAGACTCAATAATGGAATAGCTCTTTGCATAATGCAATACAGTTCAACAGCAACACAAATATCTCCCAAAATGATTATACTGTTGAAAAAAAAATTATAACCTTCATGTAGGTCAGATTTATTGCATTCCAACTGAATTTTAGCTACTGGCCACTGAGTGGATATGTGCCCTGCCTTATGTTTTGTGGCACTTCTCCCTCTCTCTAGGCAATCAGCTAAATGACAGTGTGTTTTTCATTATTCACGTGTGCTTGTAGGGGATTAATATATGCAGTAATTATATTGACATATTGCTGCTGTTTCACACGCCTCATTTAGAGCGCTGCAGCCTGGAATAACTTCCTCATTGTCATAAATTAAAGTCCATTAGCAGTGATTTTGATCACTCTCAGGTACTGTTGTTAAAAATGGATGTAACTGAAAGACGGATTGACCTCTTGTGTGACTGACTTACTGTGTGTATGTCAGTGCTATGACTTACTGTGTGTATGTCAGTGCTATGAATAGCTGCATGGAAGAGATTTGTGAGTTCTTCTGCATGAGTCATTTAGTGAGATGGGAGACGTAAAACAGCAGCTTCTGAATCAATTCTTTCCTCTTCTTGTTCTTGGCCTCATTTTCAGCCTCCGATTGTCAGAACGATATTCAAAACTGTATAAAAACTCCAAACAGCGCACGCAGCGGGATGTGCGGATGTTGTGACTCAACATGTTGTTCATAAAGGCCTACTCATCTGTCACTTAAATGTGTCCTTTCACTTTCAGCTGCACAGTCAAGCATCCTTCAAGGAGATTATGACCCTTGCACAGTGCACTCTAGTGGAGAAAAATTAGCCCCATCATTCAAAAGGACCCTTGTTGTGTCACTCCAAAGAAATAATTCTTCATTTTATTTATGGGTGTGGGATCTTCTTGAAATACAGTTGTGTTTTCAGTGTGATTTTACACACCCTTGCAATGTTTGTTTTGTGATAGACCCTAAAGTGTATGATTCCAATGCTGCATTTATTTTCCCAAAATTAATTTAACACGTGCATATTCCACAAAAACCTAGTTCTGTACCTGAAAAACAGCCACATTGTGGGAATATACTGTATATTATGAATGTAATTAAACTGTATGATTTAGGACATTTCCAGAGCATCCATATGGATAAAAAAAAAATTTAAATGTAACACTTCAATGCAATATGCTAGAATAAACTAAATTGTTGAATTTTCATTACACTTGGTCAACATGCCAGTATGACCAGTTTTTTTTTTACCTTAATCTCCCATCCCTCAGGTGCACACACACACACACACACACACACACACACACACACACAGTTTTTGCACTGTATTTTTCATGTGACTGCGGGATGTTGATGATTTAATTTAAGGGTAATTTGTAAAATGTAATTGTTTTGTTTCACACAGGGAGTTCCAGTTGTTCTTCTTCTCCATGAGCTGTCAGAGTATGAAGGAGATTGGAGTATCCTCCCTGTGCTTCCTCAGTGAGTGTTAAACAAACATATGGAGCTGATAAACAAATTCATTCAATCAGATTTAGATTTAATTTAATTTAGCTTTAATGAGGAAAATACATGCCTAACATTAATAGCTTCTTTTGGATCTTCCCAGTCTCTATGCCAATTATGGCCAATCAGCATCCTGGTTTTTCTTCATAGAGGAGGAAACCAGAGTCACACTGCCTGCTCTGCTGCAGGTCCTCCGCAGATATCAAGCCCAAAAGGTGAGATCAAGTAGTTTGTGGAGTACCATTTTGAAGCCTCAAGTTTGGCATTATGGTTGTTGCCATGACCGTTTGATGGACCCAGCGGAGGTGACGTACTGCAAGTTGAGTTGCGCTCATCGACTGCGCAGTTTCGACCAGTCCATAGCAGGAAACAATGGCAGCTTCCCTGGTTATTACAGTTAAACAGTACACTAAAGTGAGAAATAGGCAACACAGTAACAGGGTCTTGCTTCATATTTGATCAGCACTGCCTAGTTTGACTGTTTGATAATGAGTTTCATGTCATGCTGGACAGACTCACTGAGAGTGAGCCCAAAAGCATACCGTGCTTTATCATCTATTTTACTCTAAATTGGAACCATAATTTACTGAAATGCAAATCCATGCTGTATGTGAAGAAGACTTGAAACTAGAGATTGAGACCATTGACTCATTAGGAAACCGTTTACTGAGCTAATAAATCAAGTGAGAAGTCGGTTCATTTCTCCATTGGAGTGCATGGTATTGTTTTTTATTACAGCCAATGGAGCTTCCCCTGCAGACCTTAACATAGAATGCAGGTTTAAGACACTTCAAAGTTGGCTTCACTTTACAGACACAGGAAGCTCTGTACATTATATATACTGTCTGTGGGTGAGATGCACACACACAGACATGCAAACACCTTCCTAAAAATCATGACTATATATATATATATATATATATATATTTAAAAACATCTCATGTGCCCTTTTTTTGCAACTCACAGGAATGGTTTTTGGGTAAGCATCTCCATGACAACGAGGCCTCCATCATCCACCACTATGCCTTCTCTGAAGACCCTGGTTCCTTTAGCTACCCTGACCCTGCAGCAGGCTGGGCTCTCAGCACCCCACTGCTCCAGAGGTGTGTGCGCAGAGCATGAATGTGTCACCAAAATGTTTCTCTCCTTTCTGTTTTTGACACTGAACTTATCTAAAGAGGTACTTGAATTATCTAAACACAGCAGTCAATTTTTATATTGGGCCATAAAAGCCCCCAGGAGGAAGTCCTTTCTTCAGAAGAACCTTTTATTCTACTGAGCCCGGACTCATAGGATGCAATCTCTACCTGTGCGTTTACCCAATCTTTGAAATCTAGAGCTTCTTCTTCTTTCCAGGCTGTTATCATATATACCCACCATAATAACAGAAAACACACATTTTAATATATTTTACCTTAATGCAAAAGATGAGTCAGATGAGTTGCTGAACCAAACCAAGAACCCAGGACTCCCATAGCTAATGTACATTCTCATATACAATGTGGGAAAGTTCCCACTTCTATTCTTTTGTTTTTCTTCTTTCAACATCTTTCACTTCCATGTGTTTCAGACTCGCTGAACGGATCCAATACGAGCATCTGAAGTCAGATTTTACCATCGACTTGAAACATGAGGTACTTTGAAACAGTTTCCAGGAATTCCATGAATCTGTGTGTTAGCTCCTGACTATCACTATAATAACTTATTGTTAAGACTCAGTTCTGGTTCAGTTCTGCTTTGCACCTCATGTCGAAAGCATCATCAGTGTCATATTGCAGAAGTTAAAATTGAACTCTTTGGCCAGAATCAGCAAAGGTATGTTTGAAGAAAAAAGGAGGTGGATCTATCATGTTTCATGGTTGTGTTCCAGCCATTGTCACAGGAAACATTGCACAGGTGATTGATTCCACTAAATAGTTTTTAAGAGGAAGAAGCTTCTTGCTAAGTACTGACAGTGTACATGCCATAATGATGTTTTTTCAATTTATCAAATAAAACAAAACAATGCAATATTTGCTGCAAATATTAGGAAATTAAAGTCCTTTACTGTTTGAGGACCCTGAGCGAACTTTTGTCTCTTATCAGAGGTTGAAACGAGTCCTCCGATGTTTTTTTTAACTAGATAGTGCTGTGGTTGTACATCTTACTTTGTACTGATACTAATAGAACTTAACATTAGCATAAAAATGATATAAAAATGAAATGCAAATCTCTGTTTCAACTGTTACCCCCACGAAGCCTATATTCATCTTCATGTCTGTCTCTGTTTTTCTAGATTGCGTTGTATATTTGGGAGGAAGGAGCTGGTCCAAAGCTGACAGCAGTTCCAGAGTTTTGCACAGAGAGAAGAGAAAACTGTGCTACGACATTTACAACCTACCTTCCCAACTGTGTATGTACAANNGTGCCTGTATGTGTGTGTGAACATGTGTGAGCATGCATTTGTGCATGTGGGCACGGATGTAGGTGGACAAAAGTGTCAGTAGCTGAAAGGTAATCACTGCAGACAGACAATAAAAAGGTTGCAACCCAAAGAACATTAAATATTTAGTAGGTAAACATTGTTTGTCCTGACATGTGTTACTGAACTGTACAACTTATAAAGGCATGACTAGCTTTTGGTGTGTAAACATCAAAAGGAGAAAATCAAGGGAATCTCTCATTGTTTGTTTTATAATCCATCACCTAAAATCGCATTTATAACTCACACTACGCACAATGCCACTGCCAGGGCCTGTTGTGCAAGAGTACAAATACAGGGATAAGTGGGCTGAGTCAGTCTGGAGGCTAAACGGAAACCAAGTAGACAGCGGTACTGAGTGGGATGGAGGATCACTGCAGCATTTGTCTGTTGAGTTGGAACAAAGCAAACACAAATGAGCACTAAAGCACATTTCATAGTGAATGGCACAAAGCTAAAGAAGAGAGATTATACACAACACAACATACGAGACAGGAATGGGTCTCTTCATTTCTTTATCTGAAAAAGTTACAAAGTTAAGTAGACCTTATATCTGCAGCAAATTAGCATTATTTCAATTTATGATATGACCAAATACAATGTCAGCTGGTGTTTTTTTGTTATGGAATTGTACTTTATTTACATGGTAATATTAATCATGTAATTTCTCTTTAGAAATGACACAAGGAGAGTTTGTTTGAAATAAATGTAGTGTAATGTAATACTCTGGGTATTACATTACAGTGTGTAATGTAGTGTGAGAAAACAATGACTATATTTTAAAGAAAGCCATACAAAGTTTTTATCTACTCAGAAAGTTAAATGGTCTTTGAGCTGGCATATATTACGATACATGGTCTTGTGGCATGGAAATCTGAATTTTAGTAATACATTGAAATAGAATAGTAAATATAAGTAGTACAATTATAGGGAATCCCCAGATGTAACAAAGTGAGAAATGGGAATAAAATATAAGTGATGCTTCCCACCACATCTACACCCTCTCTGAGGTAAACTATTACCTCATTTCAGTTAGGATTAGTGCCAGCCTGTATCTTTCTGCTGCAGCAGAATGATATTCAATGTCTCCTCCTCAAGAAATGTTGGTGGCTTGCCTAAAGACACCAACAATAGAGAATGTTTAACTACAGAAAAGTCTCTTTTTACTATACTTTTTGAGTATGATAGAGAGGATTGATTTCTGAAATGAACAAATATTTATTTGTTTTTTATTTATTGTGGTTATTTTCCTTTGCATACATTTTTTTCCTTCTTTTTGTTGCACTGATCCTTTAATTTCTCTTGCATGAGATTAATGAAAAAAACCTTCTAAATAAACAGGAATATAAAAATACACTTTGCTGTATACATACATTTTGCATAAAATAACTCTGCAGTCTCCACATTATGGGGCAAATATGCCTGATAGAAGCAGAAATTCCATCAGGCCATCTGACACAAAGAATACATGATTAATGTATCAATTGAGATTACAAAAAATAACTGTAATCCATCATGACAAAGGTCTAGTATTTATACAGAATATTCTGCAAGGGTTGCAGATAAACAATGACAGGTATATAAATAAGTAATAATCCCAAGTACTGTTGGTAATTTTCTGGAATAAGAAGGACACCTGAAATTGGAAATTTATTGCAAAGGAGATATAAGTATTGACATGTCTGGCCAGAAAATCTAAGTGGCGCAAGAACACATGGCTGGGATTTGTTTTCCCCCACATGATAATATTGTTAGAGGACCTAGTGTGCCTCATTTAACCATCCTGACTCAATTTTAAGTCCATTACAATCAGTACATGTTGCGCCTCACACAGTGCACTTTTTTTTTTCCACCATTTTATATCCACGATGCATCATTTTTTGAATGAAGAAGGACATTGTTTTTCTTCTTCTCTTTTCTAGGGTGATCCAGTGTCGAAGAAAGATGTATTTGTTGCTGTGAAAACTTGCCAGAATTTCCACTCAGACCGAGGTGAGTGTGTGTTATTCCTGATCAGTTTTTGAAAGAAAAAAATATATTCTGCAGTGGTAGAAGAAGTATTCAAATGTTTTACTTAAGTAAAAGTACCAATTTTAATATAAAAATACTTAATTACTAGCATTCAGAAAAGGAAAGCAAGGAAAAGTAAAAAGTAAAATTGCTCATTCTGCAGTAAAAGTGGTACGTGTAACTGATTATTATATATTACATTATTAGATTGTTAATACTGAAGCAGGTCGAGGTGGAGCTATTTCTGTATACATTCTGGTATACAACCTAGGGGTCAGGCCCCCTCCTTAGGGTCAGAAGATAAATCTACAAGCCCTTGAGATGATTAATGCAGTAAGTAAAACAAAAAAAGTTCTGCTTAACAGATTTGTGTTCATTTTTATTATTTACTACATCTATGAATTACTCTTATTAGCTTTTTATTCGCTGGGCTTTTGTTGTACTTGCAGTGGTGTGTCCGCTCTACTGCTTTCTACTGCTCTCTCCTCCAAGTGCCGGCATTGAAACTCTGCAGCGGGCTGGCCTGCCCCTGCTCTCACACACACACACACACACAGAGTTGAGCAGATTGGGGGGGAAAGAGACAGCGGAGAGAGTTGATGATGGCTGCACTGTGCATTTTTTAGTAAAAACAGCTGCGTGACAACTAGATCATGGAGATCGGATCGGGACATCCCTAATTTTTATTTTTGTAAGAGGTCACAAGCTAAAAACTTTGGGAAGCTCTGGTTTAATCTTAAAGTCCCACATCCACTCAAAAAGTAAGTTTTTCATCTCATTCCTACAGTTGGATGTTTTAGCCTCAGTGAGGAGAAGGATTTATGTGTTTGAGCCTAGAAGTTTTCACATTAATCTGCTTAAAGTGGAAAGTTTCTCAATCAGATGTTGAGGGGCGAGGCCTACAAGATTTATAACATCACAAAGATTTTTGAAGCCTCTGAGACTGAGAATGGACTTTACAGTGAAGTAGGAGACATCTTCAAAACTTTGAATATTCATAGTTTCTGGAATTTTGAATGAGGTAAAAAAAAAAAAATCAGACACACATTATTGTTCTAAGATTATTTGTATATATGTCTTAACACGTGTCTTGAGGGAATCTTTAACAATGACTTTTTTAGTTATTTTTATTTTTATTTAATCTTGTTATATGCTATGCTGAAATGAACTCTTCGGTATTACAGAAAAAATATGTAAATTAAATGGAAACTACAGTACATTTAGCTGCAAAAGTTGTACTACAGTCAATACTTTTTTGTTTACTGCCACAGTCTGCTGGTCATTTAGTCTAAGTTAACCTGTCAGGTGAAAACTACCTGTTTAAATTCACATCCTCATCTAGACTGTCGGCTGAAATTGCGACAGTTTGTGTAATTATCCAAAACATTGGTGTTTGTTTTTAGGGTCAAAATGAGCAAGCAGTTATGGACTGACTATTTAAAAGCAATTAAAAAATCAAAAGTAGAAAGAACAGTGAGTGATTTTTGTTACTTTAAATTCAGGTTAAATTTAGAATTGCATCACAAGCAGTCACAGTAGTTTACTCTGTACAATCCATTAATTAGTAAATTTGTATGAGAATAGATTAATAAAGGATTGGTCCCACTTGCCGTGGATCAAAATTATGTGTGATTATGACTGTCAGTTAACATTTTATAGTTTTAATGTAGATGCTGCTCTAATTCAGATCAACATGCCGTGAGTAGAGTTACCCAGTGTCTTGTTCAAATACAGCATAATTGTTTTCTTCCTCCCTGTCAGAGTTAGTAGTCATCTTCCATTATTTTGATTACACAGTCCTTTGAGTTAACGGGTTTGCAGTAGGGGCTTAGAGTTTTAATCACAAGCTCTGACAGCCATCAAACAGTGATTTAGTGTCCAGAGCTCAAAGAGAATGTTTTCTTTTCTTTTTATCCCTCCCCCCTTTCTCCTCACAGTATCAGTGGTGAAAGCAACCTGGGAGAAAGACGCTGAGTTTTTAGAGTTTTACAGCGACGTCACTGATGCCTCCATACCCACAATCAGTCTGGGAGTGCCCAATACTGAGAGAGGTGAGCTCTAAGTGTCTTAAAACATGTATTCTATATACTGACCAGCAGGGAGTAGCTCCATTGAAGATCTTATGAAGAAATTACTCTTCTAAATGACCCGACTTCTCACTTGATTTATTAGTTCAGTAAACAGTTCCCTTATGAGTTTATGGTCTCTAGTCTTTTTCCATACAGCATGATGTTTATTTAGTAAATTATGGTCCCAATTAGAGTAAAACAGGCAATAAATCCTGGCATGCTGTAATGCGTGGTAACCTTGTGATTGACAGGTAATTCTCAGTGAGTCTGTCCAGCTCACCACATAAAACTCAAACAGTCAAAATAGGCAGCGCTGGTCAAATGTTAAGGAAGATTCTGTCATTGCATTGCACAGCCAATGAGCACCGCTGGCTGCAGAGAAACCGACATGGCGCTATTGGATAATGCCAAACCTCGAGGGTTCAGAACGGTACTCCACAAACCAACGGATGACGATAGGTTCAGACTTGGCAGAAACTCACTGGGTAGACTTGCAGCAGGGATGGTAATGTAGGTCTGTTGGTCCGGCTGTCTCTAGCACCACCAGAAGGTTAAAGTTTTCATGTATTCATTGAAATATGTCATTATTTAGTAGATTAATTGGCACACAGTTTCGTACATTCGTTGTTCCCAGATGATGTTACATGATGACTTTGCAACCAATACCTGTTTTCTGAACAAGCGCGCTTTATCAGTTGTTTTGTTTTGAAGGAGGAAGTTACTGCAGACTCAATTTAGACCAACTAGAATATTTGGTGAGACCAATGACCAAAGACTTAAGTCCGGACTCTACTCTACAATTACTACAGCTGTGGGCAAAGTAACCCCTTCACAGAGCTGCTAGTATGGCTGTTGACTCTTAAGATTTTTTTGTGTCTCTGTGCCCCCTACTTGTGTGCAATCACCACAATGTCAGCAGCTCTGCGGTTGTCAAGTTCAAACTACAGTTCAAGTGGTAGTTCAATCACAACCCTGCCACTACTGTCCATCCCCTTTTGTTTCCCTCCGTTTTATTCCTGATGTAAACTCCTTGTGAAAAAGAGATAGAAAGTCCTTCAGACTCTGGAGGACTGGGGTGTAACGGCCCCTGACTTCCTGTCCTCACATTCTTCAACTGCACTACAAATGGAGGAATCAATGTATGGACAGACAAATCAAAGGCAATAACCACGAAGCAATTCCTTTTCCCAGTGAAGAGGTGGATAGATGACACTTTAACCTACTCATAATAGGCTCTCAAGCCAGAAATAATAACTGCACTAATGATCAGCTTAAGTGAGAAGATGAGAGCCACCAATTTTATCTTTCTATCCTTGTCTGAGATACCGCTGATTACAGGATAGATCTGTGTGTGTCCCTCCCTCTAATGTACCTATGAGTCCTTTCACACAGCAGGGGGACAGACACAGTGTCAACGACACCTCCATCTCTTTCTCCCATCTATTCTTATATTCGCAGGCTGATGGAGTATTACACTGCCTGTGCCTCTGCCTTTGTGTTTCCCTAACACTGTTTAATGCTTTCCAAGTCTATGCTTTTATTAATTTTCTCATTCTTTCCCCTCTCTCCCTTTAGTCTGATATTCACTCCCCCTGTTAAAGCACCACATTAACCTGATGCTCAGGAAAATAAAAACAATGGGAATGCCCCTGTACTTCCTTGTTTTCTGTTTGTCTCTTATGGATATCTATGTACTGTGGATCGACTTGGAGATATCTTTTTTCTACCACATCCTTTTTTCATTCATTCAGCACAGTATTTTCTTCACTACTATGTTTACGGGCTTTTCCTAGTTACTTTGTCTTGATGTAAACATATTCTGTGTTCTTTCTCATTTTTATTTTACTGTTATTTTACTGTATGTTTGTGCTTTCATTTGTTTTATTATTTTGTTCTAGACACAGCAGTGCTCAGAGCTAAATGCTAATATCAGCATACTAACATGCTCACAATGACGATGTAATGTGTGATGTTTAGCAGGTTTAATGTTTACCATGTTCACCATCTTAGTTTTAACAATGTGTTAGCATGCTATTTTGCATGCAATGCATTTGCTAATATGCATTAAACACATAGTACAGCTGAGACTGATGGGATGTCATTTAGTCATAAACTGAAGTATTGGACATGGTGACGGCAAATGTCTGTACAACATGTCATGGCAATGCATCCAGTGGATGTTGAGATATTTCAGTCTGAAACAAAATGACTGATATCTGACCTTTAAAGTCGATGCAGATCATGTTTTGCAGTGTGTGCAGTACCAGTTAGTGTGGTTTAAATCTCACTGCTACACTCAACCATTATTGGCAGACCGACTATTAAACAAAAAACTGCTATGAATAATAATATCAGCACAGTGTGGAATTTTTCACCCACACATTATCAAATAAACCTAACCAGCTCAGTGCTAGTTTAACAGACCATATCTGTCATATGAGCACAAATCCACTTCATGAATACAAATTCATGTTAATCTCTCAAACACACACAAGCACAAAGACATTCTCCTTTATCTTAGGGGTCAAAAACAGCCCATTGATATCCTAATTTAATAGGGATCTGAGGAATTTGCTCTTCTGTAGAATTTCACGAGCCTCGCCTAAACTTGCAATTCCTGCTTCATCTTTTTTTTCACTTTTTGTCTATATGTTGTCTCCCTGCAGGACACTGTGGAAAGACATTTGCCATCTTAAGGCGCTTCCTGAGCAAAGCTGTGCCAAAGGCTGATTGGCTACTCATTGTTGATGATGATACACTCATCAGGTAACTGGTAGACGTTTTAACATTTGTTTTAACCTGCCACTCCTGACATCTGCTGACATTACAGTGAGAGAGATGTTAATCTTTACATGTCAACACAGTCCTGAAAAGCTCAATCAGTCAAAATCAGCTCTGGGAGTGGAAAGTAGATACGTGGGACCTTTAAAGTTGACTGTTTTGGTGCAGCACAGAAACAAACTTTAGAAACTATTTGGACTCTCTAAATATCCAGTGAAGTGCATTGTTTTGTGTGTCTTCATACAGTCAAAACTCTATGGTATGTGCTCACTTCCTGTCTGTTGGTCTGTTATTATTATTATTGTCCCCCTATAGTTTACCCAGGTTGCGGCGACTGCTGCGTTGCTATGACCCAAAAGATGCAGTGAGCCTGGGGGAGAGATACGGCTACGGCTTGATTCAGAACGGATACAGCTATACCACAGGAGGAGGAGGGTGAGGCTGAAGAGTGAAGGGAATGCGGTTGTGCTGCCCTGTGTTCAATCAGATAGCGAAGCAGTTGTGGGTGCCCCCGGTCGCTTACCGCACTGGTAGTTCTGCAGTGGCTGGGGATTGAGTCCGGCCCAGCATATCCTGTCTCTCTGTGTTGTTACTGTCAAATAAATCGAAGTTCAAAGAAAAAAAGAAAAGGGAAAGAGAAGCACTTTTTCCACATTGCATTGTTCGCATGACAATTTGACCGTTTACTGGTCCGAAACAGCCAGTGTAACAACTGTACAGCCACTGTGTTCAGCTCAGCCTCTGATTGAACTCTGGTCCTTTTTTATTATTTCTCTCCAGTCTCTATCCTTTCCCCTTTCATCGCTGTATGGTTATGAAACAGATTCATAAAGCCCCAGGATATTTGTACTCAAGTGGAAAATTTTCAGTTTTCAACATGCACGGAACAATTAGCACCTCCCCAAGCAAATTCACATCTACTTGTGTCTTTTGATTCAGTTTGTATGTGGCCACGCTCAAATTTGCTTTGCGTCTGAACACAGTGATTGTAAAAGGGCAATGAAGTTGCTATGCAAAGTTTTAACATTATCACAGTAAAACAAACTCAGAACAGGAAAAACAAAACTTTGGTCAGTGATCATCAGCCACAAAAACACGAGCGTTACTCGAGCAAATTCAAAATTAAAGAAACAACTTGAGTGTGAAATATATTGTACAGTGCAGTTTGTGTCTACTTGTGTCTGTCTACTGCAGCAGCAAATATTGAATTAGATATTTAAAATGTTAGGGCCATTGTTGCACCACATGATCAAATAGAACATTTAAAATAATGTCATACAGAATTCAGCACATTTGACATATCTGGTATTGCTGGAAAACTTGCTTCTTTACACATACAGCACATATGCTCATTCATTTGAAGTATTTCTGGCCACCTGATGATGGTCAGTCCAATATTCACTCCCCTTTTAGCTCTGTTTTGGTCTCTACCAACCTCTGAAGAAAATAGCTGGCTCTTTAGCTGCTAAATGCTCCACTATGTTCACCAGCTAACTTTTTCTGTATGCAGTCTTCAGGGCTTCAGCCTACTGCAGCTGAAAATGATGCTGATGAGAGTGGACACTTCTTGGCTACACATAATGTTAAAATGAAAAACAGACAAACACAAAGCAGGTGTTCCTGATATACTATTCATGTTTTCTGTGTTCTGGGTGTAGGATAGTGCTCAGTAGGGCGGCGGTGTCCAGGCTCGTTTCCAGTGGTTGTAGCTGCTACAGTGATGAAGCTCCTGATGACATGGTGCTTGGCAGGTGCTTCACGTCCCTGGGTGTTCCCATCACACACAGTCCGCTGTTCCACCAGGTAGGGAACAATACACACACACACACACAAGCATCATATGTTCTTGATATGATTGTGAGGACTTTGCTTAACTAAATTTGGAGTTTGTATGCACTATCCAATGGCAAACAGCTGCCTCTCTTAAATGAACAAACAAGAACACTGCTGAAAGAATGCGCTTGCTGTGCTTTTTTATTACACCAGCTCAGAAAAAACAATTTTCAGAGGAATCAACTTGCAGGGGACAATGCAGTGTCATATTATTTGGAACTATAATGTAATCCACTCCTTTTGGCAGGACATACAGAAGATTATAGAGAGTGTACTTGATATTAAGATTGTGTTTTGGTTGGATGTACTATAGCTTGGTCAATTACTTGCAAACAACAAAATATTTGTTGAAAATAATCATGACAAGTAGTGAGCAAGTAATAAAACTATAACAAGAAAGTGTTTACAGCCTGAACTGCCTATATTACAAGACTTTATTGAAATTATACATGTGAAGGATCTTGAGAAATCAACATTTTCTTTAAAGCTGCAAGTAAGTTATATATGGCTTAATGGGTACAATACTTTAGTGCCATTTTATACATTGTTAATGGTGTAAATAATGGACTAAAGGGCCACAGGTCAGACTAAAGCGATGGCCCGCTGGAGCAAGGACTCAGCCTTGGAATGTTCAAAAAGGCTACTTCTAAGATAATATTGATTCTCTATGAAGGAAATCTAGGTCATAGTGTGTTTGGAAGAACAAAGCCAAAGGCAAATGGACTTCCTGTTTGATCTTGGCTTTCTATTGTTCTCCAACGCCATTGTCTTGTCTTTCAGCTTCCTGTCAAACATTCAGCGCTTTTAATGTAGCAGCACTAACACATTTCCCCTCGCACAGCTGCTCATATGTCATATATTATGTTTTCATTAGTGTATAATCACCTTAAAATAAGAGACCAATTCACAGTGGAGACTCATTTGGAGACATAATCCAGTTTTCTGTTATTATCTTATTATTGAGTAAAAGCTGATAATTCATATTCATATCATTAATAATATATTATATAATTGGGTGAAACTTGTATTTCACTTAAAGTAGCTTACACACAAACAAAGCAGAAATCCGCTGGTTTAATGATTGTGGCAAATACAAATAATATTAATAGTGTAGCCTAAAGGCCTGCATCATCTTACTGATAGGTAAAGTGCAATTCTTCACCATGGAAACAAGCAGTTGATGTCATCAGGTCATATAAACTCCTCATAAATGTGGATCAGCCAGCAATAGCGACCAGAAGTTTACAGACAAAACTGGAAATGGTACAAACAATGGGTCGGGCACTTAAGGACAATGGCCATGCATAGATAAATATAAAAGGCCCAAATAAGACATGTTCCCATTCCTTTGTTGGTTGCCTGCATTGTAGAAGGATGTAGGTGTTGTTAGTGCATGCAGATGCAATATGCATGAAAGCTGATGTATTACAAAGGATGTCAGGAGGAAAGTTAAAGTAAGATTGTAGAATATCATGCTGTAGTGTCATCCCTATGAATGTATGCCTGTCTCACCCTTTTTGTTTCTGCTGCCTTTCTAAAACAATCTATCACCCTGCTCACACAAAGATGTGCGAACAGAACCCTTAAATACACCAAAAGCACCCTTAAGTGTTGATGAGAGCCAGATTTAAGTAAAATTACCCTTCATTCAGTATCAGATGATGCTCTGCATGACGCTGTTTTCATGTTTGTCTTCCCTAAATGTAGGTGGTAAAAGACTCCCCTCCCTGTGGGTTACACAGGCTGCAACAACAAAGTATTAAATGAACTAGCCTGGAGCATTTGTCAAAGTGTTCACAGCAGTGGAAATCCCCAGAATATATTAATTATTCAGTAGACACATACATGGGCACACGCAGAGAAACCACATGTTCTTGATTTTTTTAGGCCAGACCAGACGACTACTCTGAGACATTGATCTCCTTGCAACAGGCCATCTCCTTCCACAAGCACTGGAACATAGATCCCGTGGCTGTCTACAAACACTGGCTCCAGGACACACATCCACGAGATGAACTTTAGAAGTAAAGTGTGTATGTAAAGTGAATGTATACTGATCAGTAGACAATTAATTCAGATTTGCAGAAGAGCAAAGAAGCAGCCACCACTACAGGAAATGTAATAGCCTAGCTACTGTGGAGGTACCAGGCAAACAGTCCCTGAAACATAATTCTTGTGAGCTTTTATATCTGCATTGATAAATATTTTTGATATCAACAATAATTCAAATGACTGTTTGCAATTGAATTATCACCCAAGAAGTCTCCACAGATCCTTTTGTTTATTGACCTGACACCGGCTGTATGATAGAGTCAGAGCAAGAAAACAAAGGAAACTTGCTGAATGGATGCTAATACGCCTCTGCTGTATGTGTAAAGGTGATTGTTTGCTAACCTGTTAGCCATAACAGCTGTATAAGCCATGGGTATAAGAATATCGGCGTGTCTGTCAGCCTGTTTTGAGGTTTTTTTGTCCCGTAGTGGCCGATTACTGTAATGCAGCTTTAATGGAATCAGACATTTTCAAAATTTAAAGTGAAGTTAGCTACTGAAATCCGCGCTGAAAAAAAAAGACTTAAGGGCAAATCACTGCAGGCACGGCCACTTCAAAGACACCTTGGCACAGCGGTTTGGGCAAAACAGGTGGTGCGCCTGTGGAGCGGGACTGTATGCGTAACTGGGTAGATTAAATATAAGTGGGGGAAAAAATTGATTCAAGCAGATGGTGAGATCTTTTCATTGCTGTCTCTCAAAGACAAGTAACCTACATGAAACTATCACAACATGAGCTATGAATTTCCCTTTTCCCTCTTGTATGCTTCGTACCTCTCACATCTACCAGCATTGAAACAAGAAGGAAGTGGTAAAGTAGTAAACGCCCACCTCTGGCCTGATTCGATTGGCTGCCTGGGCCATGTGTGACATTGATGAGAGGTGTGACTCTGTGCTTTGCGCTGAAAAGTTGAGCATATTAGGTTTTCCTGCCCCAAAAAACTACGCATTTCTAGCGACGCATCGTGGTGTGATCGCCCCTCTAAGAGTCGGTAGTATCTCTTCAGGGCTTTGAGCTATAATGCGAAGAAGCTGACATACTTATGTTTACCGTGGTTAGCACGTAGTTAAGTATGTTAGCATGCTAACATTTGATTGTTGGGAATTGTATTAATTTTACAGATATTTGGTCATAAAGCAAAGTACCATGAATTTCTGTACCATACCAACATTTTGAGAATCAATCCTATAATTATTGCGATATTTGTACCAAAGTAGCGGACTGATTGACTGACGTGAAACTAGTGTTGCCAAAAACAGTAGGAGCACTTTCAGGTTTTTCTTATGTCAATGGCAATTAGAGGGACTGCACACTGATTCAGCATTAAACCACTGCTTCTTTGGAATTGTGAGAGTGGATGTGTCACTGCTGTCACTTTACCCCCAAACTACATTTGAACCAAATCATAAACCAATATGTTTAATGTAGTTTTATGTTTATGTGTTATAATTTCTAACCTATTTCTTGTTTGGGTAATTAAGTGTAACAGTGAGAAATGGTAAGAATGATTTGTGCTGTATTGGTGAAGAGACATCCAATTTCTATTTTATTGTATGAATTTAACCAGGCAAGTCCCCTCAGATCTGCCATGACAGCAGCATAAAAAGTGCCAAACTTGACAATACAACAGCTAACATGAAATACTAAAAAACAGATAATAATATTAAGAAGGCTAAAATAAACTAGGAATACAGAAAAGTAACAAAGGAGTCACCATAGAATTTGATTTTACTTAGACATATCAGATTCCTCAATTTAAGTTAAATTTTAACTGCCAACCAGAGATTACCATGAACATTTATTTCAGTAATATTTTTAATATATTGTGGTCATGTCACTTCCAGACGAATGCACTTTTAAAAGATAGAATGACATTTGTGGATATATGGCACAAATGAGTTATATATATATTTCTCAAAATGTCAAACTCTTCCTTTAAAGCTTAAATTTTTATAAATATTTATATTTTTAGTAACTCTGAAACTGACTTCTGCGTGAAAGGTTTTGTGTACATGTTTTATGTATTTGCCACATTGGAATATGATTGGGTGAATGAGTTTAATAGAATTTCGTTTTTGGTCTGTGGAGAGCAAAACTGTGTACGTTACTGAGTGTCCACATGTATAAGAGCGGGATTACAACCGCAGCTGGCAAACCTGCATTAAAATGCCATTCTGCAGCTGTGTTTGTGAATATTTAAAGGTTTGTTTGTGCTTGCTGAAAAACTGTTATTTCCTTAAATTAAATGAGATTTTTTAAATCATTTCAAAATAAATATTCATTGGGTTGAAATAAATATATGTGTGTCATTTGTTTTTTTGTTTTTTGCATCATAGCAGACTGTAAAGGAGGTGAGAATCTCATGCTGTTATAGGACACACACACACAAACAGAAACACAAAATCATGTCTGTCTTCCTCCACAAATCATTGCCAAATGATATAAGTAAAGTTGTGGTAAACAGAATTCTGCTGCTATTTTGGCAAAGATTCTCTGCGAAAAATAGATTTGAGCTCAGTAGACTTATCACAGTTAAGATACGTGTTGCGCTGCCAAATGATTTGTAAGTGGGTATCGGTGAGTCTTGAGTCATTGTCACACTTTTTTTTAGTAAGCACAGCTCCAAAATAGCCTGAAATAGTTTATTTTTCAACATTTGATGTTTATTAAAGTTGTAGAATGAAGGTTTATAGTTCACTGATTGATTACCACGCAGGGTGATGATATTACAAGAGACTCTGCCTTTTCTTCTCAGCCCTCGTCTTTCTTTTTTCCAAAACTCGTCCCTCTCATTGAGGCCAGAGTCGAGAAAAGTTGTGAAGTGCCTCAATATCATGTCACTGTGACATCAGTTACCATAGCAACAGGGGTATTGACTGTCCATAGTGACAGTTTCTCTTTGAAGGCTTTGTATGATGCCAAGCAGATGTCACAAATATATATTCAGCATGCGTTCTTGCAGAAAGAATTAATACATCACTGTCACATTATTCATAACATCAGTGAATAATTACTAGATTTTTTTTTCAACGGTATCTGTTCAATTGGCTGTGATACGATTTTTCACATACAATTAGCTTCTGTGTGAGCATGAGGTAAAATACTATAAATAAGTTGCTAATCAGTCTACTTTCTTTTGCTCTTCCTAATTCTCTGTCAAGGTAAAAAATAATCTATTTTTAATTACAGCTCTCTTGAATTGCTTATCAGGATGCAGCGGCAGGAATGTCGTACAGCTGCTATCATTAAATTGCTTTTTCATGTATAAATGTAACATTACAAACTTCACAAAAATGGATCGCTCTGTTCCACACACACCTCCATCATTAATGCAGTGACATTTCATAAACTCCCGAGTGCTTGCTCTCTCACTGACACACACGCTTCCAGCTCGGCAGTGCAAATAAAACTGTTAGGAAGGTTGGTGGTTGTGTTGCTTGAAATTTTCTGCAAGAGTTTGCAGCAGCATTGTTCAAGTTTGTACCTCTCCCTCTGGAGTGCCCCTGTTTCTTTTCATGTTAAACGGTAAATCAGCCTGATTTAGTCAACACAAATACAGTTCTTATTATCCTGCCTCAAGCATCTTATAAACCATGGAAATATTTAGTCATGGTTGCTTTTAGTCTGTAGCTTATTACTGCATGTCAAATGTTCTTTGTACGGTTGGCCTTCACGTTCCTGAGGTTCTCCTGTCACTGGCATCTTTAGCTTTCAGTAGTGATTGAATCATTTTTCTTTCTTTTTAAATGAAGAGAGAACAGATTCAAATCAAAGCTGCATCCAGGATCAATGCCAAAATTGTAATCATTTGGATGGTGAGGAGGAAGTTTCAGTGTGTCATAAATCATTTTCAGTCAGAAAATCCGCCAACACTTATTTTTTTCACCAGTCTGTGATCCAAACACAAGAATCAGAATCAGCTGAATCTGCAATCACTCACAAATTGATTGACTTTACCCTCAACCGACTTTAATAGTTACCAAAATATCTAAAAAAAAGCTTACACCAGATTTCTATTAAATTTGCTTATCATGGTCTCAGGTTGAATCCTGAATGTTATGTTGTTGTTATGTATTCACTTTCCTGTAGCCCAATAATCAAGACAAAATGTCAGTTTTTACACAATAAATACCAAATCGGAATGTTCAGATATCCACAAAATACACTGGCTTCGTCTTTTTCTTTTTAAGTTTCGTTGGGACTTTTTTGCCTTTATTTTGACGGGACAGCTCAAGGTAGACAGCAGAGACAAACAAACCATTTAAGGTAGTCAAACTCTTACCGAAGCCAGTCGGAAGAAGAGCGTAGAAATCTTTTCAAACAAGAAAAAGCCTTCAGTGCCATTCTTTGCTCTTCTTTCACTATTTCAAAGAAATACTCTCAAATAACTTCTTCACTGCCACATGCATTTACACAAAAGGTATACAGACACATCTTCATCAGGTGACCTTTAAAACCCTTATCAAATCTCATCAAAGTCACTGCTAGTAAAAGGCTACGCTGACTCCTGTGGTCTGTTATACCTCCAATGTTTGATGTCCTAACTCACAACATGAGAAGACGTGACCTTCTGCCTGATAGAAACTTTGTCAGGTCCTTCTCAAGACGAAATAACATCCCTGATGTGCAGATTCAGAGGCATGGTGGCTCTGTGCACCTGGAGGTGTCAAGCAGTGATGGATGAAGGTGCTGTTTTGTTTTCCTTGTTTTATTTTGAAGGACCGTTGTGGGATTTATGGGGATCTGTTCGCAAATATGGTAGTAATGGAATATATGTCAATAAATTGACAATTAGAATTGTTGTGTTTTCGTTACCTTAGAATGAGCATTTTAGAGAGAGTGAGTCTCTTTACTCTGTTGCATCACCTGAGTTTCGCGACCACCATGTGTTCTCCTACACGCTTGGAAGAGAAGGGTGAGGTGAGGGGTATTTAGTTGGTTATAATCTGCAACTTCACTGCTGGATGCCAATAAATCCTACACAATGGACTTTCGATATTTTTGCAATATAAGTAAAGCATTCTAGAGAGTTTTTTAGTTGTATATTTGTATTATACAACGGTATAATTGTATAATTGTATGGTTGCATATTTATATTTTCATAGCACCTTTGAAATGTAATGTTGTTATCCTGGCTGCACACATGGTTTATGCACCGTTCAGGCTTTGTTTCAAGGCACCCATGATGATCACATATGAAGGCTTTAAACACAGCTTTTGTTAGGTGTAGTGGAGCATGATGCTTTTTGTTTTATGGTGAAACCAGCCACTTGACCAACCTGTTTGTTAATCGTCCAGGTGTAGCTAAGTGGGACCAAGCTTTATTCTCCATCGTTTCACTTGGAAAGACCATTGGAAAGAGCTTAGCATGCTTATTAAAATTATGATTTTCAATAAAATGATGAATATATAACAGTCTGTGCTTTGTGTGTTGTTGTTTCCAAAATGTGTGT